TGTACCGCCAGCACCTTACGTTGAGACTCAGCACTGCGAAGCAGGGCTTCCCGGTCCCCAGAGAACCTCACACACTCACTGTTTTTTAACTCCCATCCACTCTTTCTTTTCCTCCCAACTCTCCTTTTTCTCACTCCAATTCTTTTCACTCTATTCTTTTCTCTTCTCTATCCCTCAGCCTTTTCTTTTCTTTTTTCCATCTCTTTTCCTTTTCTTTTTTCCTTTTTTCTTTTCTTTTTTCTTTTTTTTGTTTTTTCTTATTTCCAAATTTCCAACTAATCAAACAAAGTACAAGTACAATCACGGGGGATCATCAATATCAAAAAACACATAGGGCACATCATCATGTATCAGTAAAGCACGGACCCTACGTGGCAGATCATTGAGGCTCCGAAAGATGGCCTCCCCCGAGTTATCCACCGCCCAGTTACCTAGCGCCTGTGCAGGCATATTGGCCCTGGACGGGCACACAGAAGCAGTAACCACCCCACAGGAACACAGAAACCGGAGTCTGGTCACAACATCATCTAGAATCCACGGCGGACGAATAGAGATATCAACGTAGCTAGCCAACTCCGCCCAAGTGGACTCTATATCAATCAAAGTAGTTCCCCCGGCCAGGCACCATTCCAGGCAAGAGAAAAGGACCCGGAACATTCCCCGGGCGTGCTCCCCGTGGCCAGACCACGCAACCCCGTAGCAGAAGCCACCCTCCTGGTTGCGCACCACGGCCGCAGCCCCCCCAGCCGCCGAAGACCGAGAAAGATTGATCTTTAACGCCCCGGCAACCGGGGGAGCCCACCTGACCATCCTAATAACACGCCTCGGCACATGTGCCTCCATGTATGCCACAATAGTCCTCCAGTTAGAGGGCAGGATATGCTACATGGGCCAACGCCTAAACAGGCATTCCGCCACGCCCTTTGCCACCCCATGCATCACCTGTGCAACGCTGGGTGTGTCTCGGCCGTACATGCACCCATTACGGTGCTTCCACAGCTCCCACAACACCAGATATGGCAACCTGCAAACAACAAAAGACAAAAGAGGATTACGCGCCCCCGCCCGACCCCATCCTGCAATCAAAGTCCTAAGACTCCGGTGTCGCAAGTAGAGGCCGAGGGACGCCAAAACATATCTCCAAGCAGCTCTTGCTGTTTCCCCAGAATAAAAGATGTGATCAATAGACTCGGGGACCGGGACTGGACAACACCGACACCTCGAGACGATCGCATGACCGAAACGGGCCAAGATGTCATCCGTGGGAAGCCGCCCTCGGAAGACCCTCCAAGCCAGGAAGGACACCTTAAAAGGAAGGTGCTTGCGCCAACACTTAGCAAAGAGCGGGTCCGGTGCAGTGGGCAAAGCAGGCCTAAGAAAGGCCTTAGCAGAGGAATAAGAAAACATACCGTCGGACGCCACGGTCCAGAGTGGGATATCACGCGGGCCCTGCCCCAAGCGGGACAGGTCCGCCCCAATCCCAGCAAATGCCAAGTCATCGTGGTCTGTCAAATCAAGCTGGCCATCCCGCACATAGTCTAGAAGTAACTCCCGGGAGTAGGAAACCCCCCGGTGTGGATAAAGCCTGCCAAGTGGGCCCAGACCCGACCAGTTGTCCCACCAAAAACTAACCCGGCCTTGGAACAACCGCCAAGTGAGAACCCCCTCGACCTCATCACGTACCGCCAGCATCCTCTTCCAGGTGTGCGAATCTCTATTCTGAACCAACTTAGCAACCGGGTGAACCCGACTGCAATATTTCGCCCTCATAAAGTCCGACCATAAAGTATGATCTGTCCGGAAATTCCACCACAATTTAGCACTGGCCGCCCTTACCATCAAGTCTAAATCAATGAACCCCACCCCCCCTTCCTTCTTAGGACGAGAGAGGGTTTTCCACGAACTCCAGTGGTACCGGGCGCCCCCTGACTGTTTCCAGAAAAAACTCGCATAACATCTCTCCAAATCCCGTATGACCTGCTTAGGCGGAGCGCAGGCCGAAAATATGTGCAACGGTATGGCCTGCAAGACTGAAGAGATCAAGATTGCCTTCCCGCCCTTCGAGAGCAGCCGGCGTTGCCAACTCAAGCATCTAGCCTTAACTTTATCAATCACCGAGGCAAAGTAGATACACTTTTTACGGCCTATATACACCGGGCAGCCCAAGTATGTAAAAGGAAACTGTTTATGCACACAGCCCGTTGCCCGGCAAATCTGCTCAATCTCGTGGGCCGGAGTACGAGGGTGCATGTAAAACGCACTTTTCTGAAAGCTCACCAACTGTCCCGAGATCTCCTCGTACTCCTTTAACGCCCCAATCACGACCTCAATAGCTCCCAGCCTGGCCGTACTAAAAATAATAACATCGTCCGCATAGCCCAGGTGGTGAATATGTGGTGTCCGTGGCGGCTGTGTAAACTGGGGCACCGTAGTGCCATCATAGACCCGCGCAATGTACACCGACAAGACCTCAGCTGCAATCACAAACAGAGTCGGGGACAGCGGGTTCCCTTGCCTGAGACCTCGCGTAGACGTGAAGAAGCCCTCTTTGACTCCATTCACAATCACTGAATACCACACGTTAGACACGGCCCGGAACACCATATCTATCCAGACCTCACTGAAACCCAGGCGGCGCATCACCGAAGTCAGGAAAAACCATGATACCCGGTCATAAGCCTTAGCCATGTCTAACTTAAGGACTATGTCCCGGTTCTGCAAGCTCAACCCGTGGCACATCTCAGACGCTAGAAGCACATTATCTGTAATAGACCGGCCCGCCACAAACCCACTCTGCTGCGGTGACAACACCCGAGGCAAGACTGTAGCCATCCGAACCACCATGAGCTTCGTGATAAGCTTACTACTGAAGTTGCATAGGCTGATGGGTCTGTAGTCCGCAAAAGTCTCCGGACTCGGCTTCTTCGGCAACAGGACGATAGATGTGTGCGTGATAGCCCTGGTAAATTCCCGTCCCGCAAAGTAGCTCCGAACCATGCTGACAACATCATCCTGAATAATATCCCAGCAAGCCTTATAGAAGGCCCCCGAGAAACCATCCGGCCCTGCCGCACTCGTAGAGTTCATCTGCATTACCACCGCCTCCACCTCAGGCACCGCCGTCAAGACCTCATTATCCTCCTCTGTAACCAACCGTGGGACACAGTCCAGCCTAGTCAAATCAAAACCCCCAACCTCCGCGGTGAACATATGCTCAAAGAAAGAGACCGCCTGATTAGCAATCCCTTGCCTATCCTCTAGCCACACACCGTCACCACCCTTCACTCTGTGTATATATAGCTTTCGCCTACGTTCCTTAACAACTGAGTGAAAGAACCGGGAGTTTCTATCCCCATCCTGAACGTCGGTGATACGCGCCTTCTGCTGCCAAAATTCTTCTTCTATAGCAATCTGTTTCTGTAACAAAGCAACACCCTTTTTATATTCAATTAAAGCATTCTCATCATCCGGGTGTTGCTGTAAGGCAGCCTCTAGGGCCTGAACACTATCCTCATACTCCCGGAGCTTCACAAAGATATCCCCAAATACAGTCTTGCTCCAGGTGCTCAGAACTTTCCCCAACCTATTCAACTTGGTGGCTATTACAAACATAGGGGCCCCCTCTACAGGAACCTGCCAGCTATCACGCACCACCCTCAGAAAATCCTCGTGCTTAATCCACACGTTCAGGAACACAAAGTGCTTCGGAATTACCTGCATACTTACCAACTCAAAGGATATTAGAAGTGGACTGTGGTCAGACGTAGACTTTGACAAATGCCGTACGGATGACGTAAAGACCGACTCCCACACCGAGGTGTAGAGGAGCCGATCCAAACGCATCCATATAGCCGCCTCTCTACGGCGCCCATTCCACCAAGTAAAACAGGAACCGTAATAGGCCGCGTCGATCAAGTCACACGCACTGACACACTCCTGAAAATCAGTAGTCTTCCGGTGTGAATACGGTAGACCACCTTTTTTCTCGTCCACACTTAACAGACAGTTAAAATCACCCGCAACCGCCCAAGGCACACCCCCGGGGATCATAGAAAAAATAGCTTTCAGCTCAACCCACAGGGGGTCCCGGAGGCGTACCTTGGTCTTGGCATAAACAAAAGAGAGCCAGAAAGGCGTGAGAACCGTAGAGTGTACACAAGATATCGTAACACACTGCTCAGTCTGACTCTCAAATGTTACTGCCAAGTCATTATTCCAAAAAAGCCAAATTTTATTATTATTAGAAGTAAAACCATTATCAAAATTAAAACGAATTCTAAAAAACTCAAGCCAATCAGACGAGCTGAAAGGCTCGAGCAGACAAAGTACAACAGGAGAATGCATTCTTAACAAAACACGGATCCTGCGTGCCGAACCCCGGGAGGACACCCCCCGCACATTCCACACGAGCATCTTCATATACACAATAGACCACCCGGCTCCGAGTGAAGGGAGCCCCCCCCTTTTCTGGTATGTATAAGCCGACGTCCTACCGGGCCTACACCATCAAGCACCCGATCCTTAGAGTCTGACCCCGACTCCGGGGCCCACTCATCACGCTCATGACCAGACACTGGCACGTCAGAATCTGACCAAGCCCTTTCCCTCCCCCTTCTCGGCCCCCAGGGAGCCTTAGGAGAATGAGAAAAAGGAGTGAAAGAGAAAGATACCTGAAGCGGGCTCTGCTCAGCCCGCCCTCCCGAGGGACTAAAGCCTCCCGTAACCTCCGGGGGTAGTGGACAACTGGCCAGGCGACTGGCCAATCCCTACCCCGGGCGCTGTCGTGCCTACAGATATCCTGCTGTCAGCCGGGGTAGATGGCAATTCGCCACCCCCCGGCCCCACAATAGCCTCCTCAGGGGCTAAGTCCTCATCCTGGAGCACAACAAACCCATTACTAACCGGCACCGGGGTAGGCCGGCTAGGTGACAGGGCCCGCCATACCTTATTACCTGTACCAACACCCGGCCCCTGACTATTGTCCATCGGGGCCTTACCTTTTATTTGTTATTACTTTGTTTTTTCCTCTGACTAGCCGTCATGTCCCGATGATCCAACACAATAGCTGATCCCCAGTCCTGGCCGACCCCCCCGGAAGGGAGCGGGCCAGCATCAGCCATTGATGTCGACACATGTGGTGCCGAGGAGCGTGGCGCGCTTGCCCCTCCACCGGGGACACGGCAACTGTTGGCCAGATGGCCTTGTTTCCTGCAGTTCAAGCAATACGGGGGGATACGCTCATACTCTATCACCTGCCAAAACCCCACGGCCTCCCGATCCGGGCGCGCAGTCCCTAACCGGATGAACATCTTGCGGCACGGTGGTTTCAGCAAGTCAATCTCAACCTTCACCCTAGCCACACTAGGCCTGGTGAACTTAGCCGTAGGCGTATCCACCTGTAAAAATCTTCCAATAGGTTTGACAATTTGTTTGAGACAAGGCTCCGAGAAACAGTTGGCCTTAAGGTTGGGCAATAACACCCAAACCGGGGCCAGCGATGTCTCGAACCTCGTGTCAAAGTCCATTGTCCACCTAAAGAGCCTCATCGGGCACTTCCCGTCAAGGAGAATCTGACCCTTGACTAACGTGTTAATGCAATCTTCCGGGTTGGAAAATGCAAGAGACACGTGTCGCGGGTCCACTAAGCCAACACTCACCGTTCCTTTCAACTTCAAGCGTTTGGCAAAATGTTCTCTTATAACGGAAAGTACGGGCCTGCCATAGGAGAACTTTCCAATAAGTAGGGTTTCCCCTATCTTGTTCATCTGTTGCACCTCTTATCCTCAAAGGTAATGCAGGCCTCCCCCTCATATGATTCAACCATTTTATCCGGGATATTAAGCCCCAAGGAATGGCCCGCATTACCACCTTGAGCTGGCAGACCCGTGGAAGCAAAAAGACTAGCAAAGGAAGGAAGCGTACCTGAGCTCACGGCCAATGCTGAGCTACCTACCTGAGCCGTATTATCCAAGCATGGTGCCCCCATTGGGGTCGCATTATGCGCATGAAGCGTAGCAAGCCGTGCCCAAGCGCTGGGCACGGTGGAACCCGAGACATGCACACCTCCTGCATGAGTGCCATGTCTCGGGTTAGGGGTGCTATTGGGGGTTGGCATTGCATTTTGCTTGCTCCCAATAGCATTCCCATGTGGGACATTCGAAGGCGTGGACACCAAAGTTTGCGTAGCTTTCAAACCATCCACACCCGCATTGTCCCCAAGTTTGCTAGATGCAGACAACATATAACCAAATTGACCAAATAGGATGGGAGAATTTCCTCCACCCCCATGGTTATTAGCTATAATGTTGCCTGCATTTAGATTAACTGTGTCCGAAAGCTGCCCCGTCCCAACCACTCTAGAAGTGCCCGAAAGGGGGTTAGGGTGATTTGCAAACGCAGCAGTTCCCGGGCTAGGCAAGACTGGATCCGAAATCAAAGAGGACTTGGCTACAGAATCCCCACCATTATTTTGCCTATCTTGCCTTCTAAGTGTTGTTAATGTATCCGATATAGCATCATTATGGGGCCTATGACCAGCGTTGTCTAATGTGACTAGCCGGTTAGGATCACCCCCATGAGCCCTATGACCAGCTTGCCCACTTTGGGCTTGCCGATTAGGGTGCATAAGTGATGCCTCTTGAACATTTCCCACACTTAGATTAAAACCAAGAGAACGGGGAGCAGAAACCTTACCTGTTGCCGTGTGGTTAACCTCCGGCAAAGAGGCCTTTGTAGAAACATAGCACATTGCTCCATCCCCTTGAACCTCTCGGCCAGCCTCCCCATTTCCACCCTTTCGGCCACCAATTGGCTCGGAGTGCACAATTGTGCTGTAAGCCATGGTGGGTGTGGTTTGGCCGGATTGTGTAGTGGCCATAGTTCCATAAGCTGCTTGACTAACCAACAAATCATGGAGAGATAATGGTTGGCTTAATGTTGGCATGGTATTTGGATCATGTACCATACTAGCATTAACAACCATCCCTCTCTCATCATCTATCAAAAATGGGCATTTCCACCCAAACATCAAGCATAGATTATGTGCCAAACATTTGGGATGGGATTGGCTCTTGGCTAAGCCAGTCAAAGCCATATCTCCCACCCCATTTCGGATTAAAGAAACCGGGCTCAAGGCATGCAGTCCCACACCTTGTGTCCCCTTCCCCTCAACCAAATTACGCATCAAGCGAGAATCATCAACACTGCCGTGCCCAGTTGAGGGGTGAGCCAAATCAACAACAATACTCCCCTCATCCCCCAAGCTAGGCTTAGCATCATGGAGCACAAAACTACTTGGGGCTGCCGTGACTTCACAAAAACCACCCTTCTTGGCATCACCAAATTGGGTGTCCAGTAAGGAGGATTTGCGCACAACTGCCACCCCTTCACCCACCCTGCCAAGCCCATATGATGTAGCATTCACATGCTCAAATGGTGCGGCAATAGCAGCATGGGTAGCATTCCCAAAGCCTTCTCCATTCAGCTTAGGCAATGGACTAACACATAGTCCACATACATTACTGCCAATTCCATGGGGAATAGACACCCCACTAGAATCGACCAAAAGAGGGAAGGCCACACCACAAGATGGAGAATTCAAAACCTCACCTTGTGTGTTGGCCGGTTCCAATTTTGGCGTATCGACATTCAAAACACCAGGCTGCGAACCATGGGCATTACTCATCCTATTTCCAGCTTTGTCCATAGGCCGATTAGGAGCCCCATCAACGTCCCTATGACCAGCTTGCTCCACATGAGCTTGCCGATTAGAAACCATTGACGAAGGATGCCCATTCCCAGATTCAAGCTTAACAAGAGAAGCCAAAGACTTACCTGGTGAGTTGCGCTGCCTTGCCCTCTGTTCCTTGCCATGGGATGCAACATATGGTCTCACCCGAGACTTCTTCTTTTTGCTTCGACGGGCACGGGAATTATGCGAATATTCCAGGCCACCTTGTTGGTTTCCAGAAGTTGAAGGACCACCTTGGTCCTTGGCCACCATGGGGCCACCAAGCTTCGTGAGCCCCCCCTTCTTGTCTCCCTTAGGCGACACGGCCAAAGACCGAGACACCACCGGCGCATTCGAGACTGCCCGGCGATTCTTCGCGGCCTTCTTGGTGCGGATGAGCTTGGACTTTGTTTGTAGGGGAAAACCAGATGGCCAACGACCCTCCTCTTCCAAGTCCATGCCTGCACGAAGAAGCTCCCATAGATCATCGAGCTTGACCATCTTCTTCGCCTTCTCCCAATCGCCTTTCACGGAGACCAACGCCAAGGCCGCCTGCCTCCAGTCGCCCTTCTCTTTTCTATGGCTAGCCTCTGCACATGAGGCAGCCACCATTGATGCCTGACCTAGCTCCGCCTTGCGATGACCAAGATTGCCCGCCGGCAACCTACCTACGGCCTTAGCGCCTAGTTCGACATCATGGGCAAATGCGCCCACCTCCGGCGTCCGGCCTTCACTGTGCTTTCCCCTCCCCCCCTCTGAGATGACAACCCCATCAGAGCGAAGGTCTGCAACCTTAAGCAAATTCGCGCAATCGCGCTTTTCTCCGCCAACACCATCGCGCAAAGCACACTGCTCCACTGTCGAACGACCTGCCTGAACGCGATGACCCCTCTCCGACCCATCTTCTCCCATCCCATCAGAACTGAGACCACCTCCAGAAACCGGCAAGCTGGCCGGACTCGTCGCGCACGAAGTCGGAGAGCCTAGGCTCGCCAGAGACGCTCTAAACAGCCCGGCTGCCTTCCGATCATGGATAGCAACTCCCGACGACGTCCCCATGTCTTCTAAGTGCCCAGCACCACCAACGGAGGCCGGAATATTCACCGGAGCCGGCTGGTTAGAAGTCGAGGGACCAAGAAACGCCGGCGATTCTGCCGGCGTCCGAATTCCCATCTGCTCACCTCGATCGCTTCCATAGGCCTCCTGGCCACCCCCGACGGAGACAGAAGGGTCATCGAAGCCCTGGGTCACCGGCGATTGCGAGACGGTCGAAACCCTAGCTTCGCGACCAGACTTCTCCGCGAATCTCCGATCATCCATCTGTGCATCCCAATCAGTCCCAAGAGGTCCCTGGACCTCTCCGCATCCATTAGAAGGGCCTTCAGAGCCATGGATGGCAGGCGACGAGACCTCGGCCGAAACCCTAGGTACGCGATCGGGAATCTCCGCCTTCGTCCGATCCTTGCGATTTCGGTGGCGATCAACAGCCCTTGGGTTGACGACGGCTTTGGAGGGCATTGGGAGAGGATCGCCGTTGCGCATGGCCATGATCGCCTCCTCGGACAGCACGTAACCCGTGCTGCGTAGAAGCTGTGCACGCTCCCGGAGCTCTTTGATGGTCTGATCGACGGAGAAGGGCCGTCGATCACCCATCTCCTTATTCGCCTTGATGAGACGCACGCTCTCACCTGATTCAATTTGCTCTCGCCTTTCCTTGCGTGTTAAGTTTCGGGCGTTAGTCGAACCCTTTTCTCTTTCCACACTTCGTTTATGATGGGATTATGATTACCGTTTGTGCCTTGTCGTAACTGCTTTATCTATTGTGAAATGCATATGCTTGCTATGTCTACTGCTGGTGTCTAGCCTTAACTGTCGAGTCACTCCCGGTTTTAAAAGCTAGAGTTCGTAGGATATATCTTCATGCTCATAATGGTTTTCGTATATCTATATATATATCTCTATATGTATTGTATTTCAACACGTTGGAGTGGGTTACCAGCATCTCTCGCTGAACAGATATATTTGGCTTTCAGGCACAGAAGAATAAGTCACTGGAGCGCGCTTTAACTCCGAACGTAGAAGTAGATAGTTCCCTTTTCGGCCTGCGTGCCATATTATGCATTTACATTATTGAGGATATTAGTTAGTTAGCCTGTGCACCTGGGTTCTCTAGCTCAGGTGTGGCATAGCACCCCGTACACTTGTATTATGTTTTGGGGATTTAAGGGGATAATACCTTTATTTATAAGTTTTAATTGTCTTGAAAATCTGGGGTGTTACAGATACGTATTCGTAACCTCCACCTACTTCGCCGATTCCTATCTAACAACTTATTTTAATATTGAATCAATGAATGTCGGTTCTTTATGCCCCTGGTCAGGGTATGGGCCTTATGCTGCTTTACGGTTTTTAACAGGGTTTCCAAACGGAGTGGGGATATGAACTTAGAGTAAGGGCAATAACAATTTAGGGTTTCCGAGGGTTTGGGTTAAGCGCAACAAAGGGCGAGCAAGGTCATGACGGTTGCGAATTTGCTCTTAAGGTAATTAAGGATTCGGGGTGGGAGTTTTCAACAAATAGGGGTATCAAGATGCTGGGGTTTCAGGGCGGATGATATTTTAAATTGGGGTGGTGGGGTCGCAAGGTGTCGCGATATACTTACCTTGCACCCAAGGATTCGACTAATGGAGTCGTTCCTTCGCTACTTTAATAGGTGCCCTAGTTCTCCTTCCTGTTTGTTGTAGCCGCAACCCGGGTTTGCCGAGATAAGGCAACTTGTCGGAAGGTGCATGTCATTTGTCTGACTCGGGGGTTATCGTGGTTACCCTGGGTTGGTGCGTATTGCAGTCCGTCCCTTTTAGCAGTCCTGACTGTAACGCCTCTTCTAAGTAGTCATCCAAATCTTCCTTTTCTTTGGTCAGGGTCCTTGTCAAGTCTTTTGACGGGAGTTAGGACGAGGCGATTTATCGGGTAAGTGTACGTTACCCAGTTGTGGAAGTAAACTTATCTATTCGCACCCTTACCTGGTGTGGTAAG